TGGAATGGCGTCCAACAACTGCGGAGACTCTTATGAGCTAAATATATTATGAATATACTTATTTTCATTAAAGAGACCCAGAAACCTATGCGATTAAGTAGCTGCCTCGCTCTCTTTGTCCCCCAGCTGTGGCACATTCTCACAGTGTAAGGGAAACAGTTCCACCACACCATTCTCTCAGCAAAGCACTCTGGGGTCCTCTGGGAGGAAGGCTGGTACATACACATACATTATTGTTATTATAATTATCATAATAATTCTTATCTGACTATATGGCTATGGATTCTTTTTTAAAAGGCAAATAATAAAAAGACAAAATGATTAAGAGACATTCAAAATCTCTCCACTCTCTGAAAGATTTAGAAACAGAAAAAATTATTTTAGTCACAAGTCTGTGACTGTCAGCTAAAGTGCCTCCAAACTACTCACACTGGTCTGGTTCCCACTGCTTGAACGCAATTATGAATTGACTTCTATGCGCTGATCAATCAGAACTTGTGTAAGTGATTTTTCAAAGCTCATCTATGCAATTTCAGTTTGGTTCAGACTTCTGCGCAAATTTCCCTTACAAAAAGTTCATAAAAATATTAACTCCCATGGAATACCTCCCTGGTTAGCTCATGCCACCGGGAAGACGCTGCTATTCTTATATTACTAATTCTGCACAGAATTAATCAGTCATTATACATTAGAACCGGCAGCTGGAGTGTTTTGAGTGATAATGAAACCTGTAACAAGGCATCTTCAGCCGTCTTTTCAAGACAATAAGGGAATTAAAATTTCAATTTAAATGCAGAGGTTTGAAACACGCTTCACTGCCAAAATTACTTCAATTAATGTGAGTGGAATACAAAGGACAGACTGCAGAAATGTGATGCAGCAACCAGAAATTATGTCATTAATGTGCCTGCATCAGCCCAGCACAATGCCTGCAAAGGTCTAATTTAAACCGCACGTATCACAGAGCTACAGGCGACCATATAAATCAAGTCTCTGATTTCAACGTGACGCGCACAGGCCCCTTGTTGGATCACTCTGAGCTTTTTGTAAGGTAACAGCAGCTGTTTACCTTGAAGAAGGAAACAAAAGGCAGTGCCTATTTGCAGACATTGCCAGTCGTGACAATTTAATTATTTTACGCAATCCTCAGGTTATCATATCAAAAGGAGAGAGAAATATCCCATCTAGAAGCCAGGCCTACAGCTATGAGAGCAGTCTAATGGTGAGGCAGGAACTGCAGGAGCTGACAGAGCCAGGGGTCACCGCTGATTTATTTACTCTGGATTTATTAACCTGAGTAGGGATTAAATTACTGGGCATCTGCACCTGCCTGGGAATAAAAATGCAAAATCTTATGTTAAACAAATCCAAGGAAATCAGAGGGTTTTGAAAGACTAGGCTATTGTCTTCACTTTCCTCTGATGTCTTTTAGCAAAGATTTCCATTTGGACCCTTCAGATGCCTTAAGTGGATTTTACTTCTAATATCGCATAACCATGGGAAAAGGAAATGTGATTATTTTTTCATATGAAGTCCACTGAAAGAGCACTTACAGACTGTGCTATTCACTCCTATAAACAAAAGGATAAGCCAACGCCCCATCTCATGCAAAGCAACGACCTCATCTGGAAAATGGAAATGGTATCAGAAACCTATTTCTCATAGTGTTGTTGAAAGAATTAAATGGTTAACAAATGTAACACACTTAAAATGGTACCAGCATGTAGCAAGTATTCAATATATAATGTTATTATTTTTATTGTAAAAAAAAATTAGAAACTACAGAACTATTAAAAAGCAAACAAAAAAAGGGAGAAAAATCAGACGAGAGCTCCAGAGAGAGAATGAAATGCCTTTTTCTGTTTAGTGATATAAAACTCTTCACACAGTTGCCCATCTGACTAATGATCTGTGAACTCTGACTATATGACTATGCTAAGTACAGGGCAGACAAAAATAAATAAGATATAGCCCCTGCCCTCAATGACCTACCATGCAAACAAAAACAGTTATATTGCAAAGAAATACATACAGCTTATGAAAACAAAGAACAGCATCTACTCACATTAAGTATTCTTACCACAATAAAATTGATACATAATTTTATGAAATGAGAAGTATCTAATTACCTGGGACATTCAGAGATGATGAACTCTGAGCCAAGTCTTCAAGAATAAATCATCATTTTCCAGGCAGACAGGATTGGGATTAGTTTCAGGGAAATATACGATCAATTTAAAAAAGAAAAATCTATAGCATGCCTATACAGCAACAAATAACTAGAAATTGTAGTTAATACTAAGCCACTGTTTTCACCAATAAAAATATGATGCTTAGAAATAAAACAAAATATAATGTAATAGAGTATCTCTAAGGAATGCATTACTAAATGTTATTATAAAGAACATATATGAAGACTTCAGTAAATGAGAGATATATCCTATTCCTTGAAAGGCTTGTATTACAAAGATGAAATTCTCTTAAGTTTAATCCCATCACACTTTCTGTGAAACTGGACAAGCTGATACTAGAATTCGTGTGGAAGAGTAAAGGGCCAAGAACAGCGCAGGCAATTGTGACTAGAAAGGTGAGGGAATGTTTTCACCTGCTATCAAGATAAATTACTAAAATTACAGTAATTAAAACAGCATGGTTTTGGTACAGCACATGCAGAAAAGACCAACTGAACAAAACAGAAAGCTAGGAAACACCTACGCACATGTAAACCCTGGGATGTGACCAAGGAGGTACTAACGCAGCAGGAAACGGATTCCGTAAACAGCCTGAGCCGAGCGGCTATGTACACAGAAGATAACATTAGATCCCCAGTTCATTCAACATATGGAAACAGATTCCAAACGGATTAAAGAGGTTGTAGGAGACTCTCATTATGACACTGGGATAGAAAAAAATCCTTAAAATAAAAGTCGCAACAACAACAAAAAAAATGTTATTGTGCTATATGTTAAAACTTCTTTATAACAAAAGGCACCATAAACAGAGTAAAAAAGATATACCACCAACTGCGAGAAGGATTTATTTACAAACCATCCAACAGACAAAGGATTAGTATCCAGTCTATATAAAGAACTACAAATAACAAAAAGGAACTTCTGAGAAGTCTCTCTCATACATTCACCCTTTTCTGAAGGTAACTGTTCTTCCTTCCCACCTCCTAACCACACAGTTTTGGGTGGAACTGACAGTTTCAGTGCTCAAAATGGCCCAATCTAGATCCTACCCCCTATTTCTAAATTAGAAAAACAGAGTATTTTCCTCCACAAAGCTGAACAGCTGCGGGCTACAGCCGACATTCTCTCCAAATACCCAAGCCCCACCCAGAGCGGAAGAACATCTACAGCAGAACAGTGGAGACACACAAAAGAACAGAGAGGTGGCACTCTACATGCATGCCTGTCCTCTGCTCAGACTGGTTACATCAGGAGAGCAATTCTTTCACCTAAGTTAGCTAGAGCTGAATTTCTGCAACTTGCAACCAAGAATTTCAAGACATGTATAATGAGATTCTTAAGAGAATAGGTGGGGCGGGGTGGGGGGGGGAGACTATTCACTATTGATTAGTTCTTAAGCAAATAAATTAGCCCTTAAGGAATAAAAGCATACAACCAAAATCTGAGATCCTAAAAGAATATAATTAACACAGAAATAAATTCTTAAACCTATTTTTAATATGCAGTACTTACTTAAAAGCAGGCCCCCTACCAAAAATAGTGATTCAAATGGACATACATATGCTAAATATATTATATACACCTATCTCTTCTGATTGCTAAATCTTGATAATTTAGCACATACACGCATCCTAATGCAAAAACCAAGAGTAAAGCTGAAAGGTGACTTTTTTGTTGTTGTCGGACACCCTATAGTCATGATTAAGTAGGATGTCACTATGAACAAGACTGACAACAGCCAATTCTTTTGCCACTCCCAGGAGCAGACCTAACTACTGACCTCCTTCCACTGTGGGAATTGACTCTTCAAGCCGATCACACAGCCAGGTTTAGAACAGAACATCAGGGTACGTCTCACCTCTAGGTTACCTAATTTCCTTAAAAGATTCTTGTGAAAGGCTGACAGCAAAATTCTTCTTAAAACTCTGAATGAATGAGAACTCCTTAGAGCATTTAACCCGTTTCTCCCACCAACTCCTCTCACTGATTTTTCCAGGGTTACAGCCAACCCCACTTGGTGAAACAAAGGTAAGGGACTTTCACCTATTGTGGAAAAGAAAACCCAAGCACAGTGTATCTACTACGGAGAGCTGCTGTCGCCCCCAGACAGGCCTGAATGAGGCAGAAGTGGGGCATCTGCGTAGAGTGGGGAGGCAGGCAGAGCAGCCCTCCCGAGGACCACAGGCCCTGGGAAACCGAGAGCTGTTAGACAGCAAGCTGTGTATTTTCATTTTTTATTCATTTCCTTGATGCTCAGCCACATGCGCCCACCAGTTGCCAGCCTCTCTGAATTTTCATTTCTAACTCAAAAAGTGGCAGAATGGGCTAAGATAGAGAGAAGCTAAAGGCAGGCTGTGAAGTAATTCTTGCTTGACAAAGTTACTTCCAAAATTATTTTCTTTCTTATCAATGTAAAGGAAAAAATAAACCCCTAACGTAAAAGTTCTTTCACAGAATTTGTGGAACATCGAGTTTATAAATCTCCTCAAGTTCTCTTTCATGAAGATTTCATTTTTTAAAACAGGATTCGTTAAACATCTTCCGCTGAAGCTATTACTATCCCAACGTGATTAAAGTGCTGATTTCTTACCATTATATTTCTTATCATTGTTCCAAAGGCAGACAATACATAAATAATAATTGCCTACCATTTCAAACACTGGGATTAGGAAGAGAACCAGCCAGGCTTCACCTGCAAACCCCACAAGGGCAGTCTGTAATGTGCTACATGAATTACACGACTCAGAACCAAAGGGAGTGCTACGCTGCCACAGCAGTCATGGCCATCAGCGCGGGCTCTTCCCTTACCAGCATGTCAGTGGCACTGAGATAGTGCTTGCTGGCCATGCACTGCTCCAGCTTTTGAGGCACTTGCTTAATGTTCTCAATTTCATCCAGCAGGTTCAGGACGTGCTTGTGCTCAATCCCTTCAATCCACAATTTCCGAAGCTCATCCCGTTTGCAGTGCAACAGCATCTTGCATGAAAGCAGGTTTTCTTTGACCTAGAATGAAACAGATGCAGTCTCGGGTCAGTCCAAAGTCTTGCCAGCCAAAACCCATACCTGGTTAGGGTTCTTCAGTGGCACTCCTGCAAGTAACAGTTCCTCATTCACACCTACACTTACTCCCCTTGGTCAGTCCACTTGCAAACTTCTAATTCTGATTCCGACACTGACTCACTTGGGTACATCTCCGCCTCTCTCTGTATTTTGTCTCCTACAAAATGGGAAAATTACTCCTAATCTACCTTTGAGTGCACCTAGAAAAAAATTCCTTAGGATGTAAAGCATACACTTTGTTTACAGTTTCGGTTTTGGTTTGAGGTGAGATTTATGTGTGAAGACATCTCCAGTATACCATCCAATGAGTTTCAGCAAATGCACACACCTGTATAATCCAAACCTCTAATGTAACGGTCATTGCCATCACCCTAGAAAGTCTACAATGCTTTTGATAATTGAAAATCTGTCTTCTACAAGATTTGGTGGGGTGTTGCACATAATGACACTATACTTCCAATAATTATTTCAAAACTTTTCCAAGAAACATGGAAAAATACCAAGATAGAACACTAACATTAGAAGGTTTCTTGAGAGAGCACCTCACCTATTCCCACAACTTTAGGACAATACCTAAATCATACGTTTATGAAACTCTCCAATGTAAATTTTTTTAAAAATGCCCTGAATAAGGACATTTGTAATCTCTGAGAAAACATTTTGGGGCTCAAAGATCCCTTTGAAAATCTGTTGAAGATGACCTAATTGCCTGTATTAGGGTCATCTGCAGTCCCACCAAGAAGAGAAAACAGAGAAGAGGGAATAGCAAATGAGAGAGGGCAACAAAACTCTGCTAGCTGGCAAGAGCATGGATGGTGGCTATGTCCTTCAGCAAGGCACGGAGGCTTCATCACTATGCAAAGCAGAGACCTCTTCCCGGGAATGAACATAGAGCTGATCCCTCCATGTGTGATGGCATGAAAAGAACCTCTGTGTGAAGGATCTCCAGCAAACTGGAAAAGAGAAGTTGCCATAGATTACAAGGTCCTGACACAATTCTATGTGTACCTGTGTTGTCCAGGATTTCGAGCTTCAGTACTTCAAGTGTCAGACCCAACTGATGATGAACAAGTAGCCGCACAGATGCCAACCATTTATTATGAATTCCCCAATGGCTACACCTGTGATTCTGGAGCAGAACGGCTGAAGGTTCCTGAAGAATTTTTTGACCCTTCCAATGGAAAGGGAGATCAGGAAATACCATGCTGGGAGTCGGTCACTTTTCACCACAAGTGATGGGACGTGCAATACTGATACCAGGTCTCTACGGCAGTGACACAGGCGGGAAGAAACACTATAGTACAGAGCTTTGCTGACAGGCTGAATGAAGAACTCTCTCAGAAAACTCCCCCAAGTATGTGGTTGAAACTGACTGCAAATAACACAACAGTGGAATAGAGGTTTGGTTCATGGATTGGTGGCTCCATTCTAGCTTCTCTGGGCGCCTGTCCCTGAGACTCTGGGGGAGGAGGGAAGCAGTGTCAAGGAAAGGAAATGCCCTTGAAAAGCGTTCCCTCCCCCCCACCTTCCCATCACTTTACGTTTCATAGCTTCAGTACACTCAGGAAAAGAATGGCCATCTTTTGTAGAATGTTTATATATTTTTGCATTTTTTCAATTTCCACTTCAATTTCTTAAGGCTTTAACTGGCTCTAGAAATTAAAATTAGGCTGCACTGTCCTTGAAATGTACTTACTCTTATTACAGACATTCTATAATTTTACATAAATGTCTATTTCCTCTAAATAGTTTGCTTTCAGTCAAATGCTTTCAAATTCTGTTAACTGCTTTTTATTGATGAATGAAACTTATTGCCTATGCTTTATACCTTAGGCATGCAAAATTAAATAAAAATGACCGTATTTTTCAGACCATAAGACACGCCTAGGTTTTAGAGGCGGGAAATAGGGAAAAAAAAATTGAAGCAAAAAATGTGGTAAAATATTTAATAACATAAATATGATAACACTTCACCAATGTCAATGTAAACAGAACTCAACAGCAGCACTAACAACCATTATTCCTCCCAAATTTGGGCAGGGGGGTGGGGTGGGGGCGAGTGTGTCTTAATAGTCCAAAAAATATGGTAGTAGCCATTCCAGAAAAAAGAGTTAGCCAAGGAAAGCCTGTAATATGGAAAGATAGGACTCAAAACAAACAAAAAGAAAAAAAGTCCTGGGAGGATGAGGGGAACAATGCAGGAAACAGTGTATAAAAAAATTATAATAATTAAAATCCTTAGGAAAAATAGAAAGATATTACATCAAAGAATAGAGAATGAAAAACAACTCTTCAAACTTAAAAATACGATAGAAAAAGACACAATACAAAGATTAAAAGAAATCCTTGAATATCAAAAGAGTAAAAATAAAAAAAAAAGATATAGGTGAAGAGAAGATTAGGAAAATGAGAAGACTGATCTAAAAAGTCCAATAGTTGCCAAATAGGAGTTCCAGGGATGGAAAAATGAAAAAAAAAATGAAGTGGAGAAAAATCCCAATAAAATAATAAATGAGAAAAAGAATGAGTTTTCAGATTGGAAAGGCACACCGAGTGCTCAAGACAATGCAGTGAAAACAAGACCCAAGCCAGGGCACGCTATTCTGACGTCTAAGAGCACAAGGATAAAAGGACAACCTTGTAAAAGCTTCCAACAGGCAGGGAGGGGGCAGGGAAAGAGGACCGTTCACATGACTGGGAATCGGAGTGCTTAGCAGACATGCACGCTCTCAAAACAATAGACCTTATATACACTGCCTCTCCCCAAGCTGCTGAAGGATGTGCTCCGTCAACACAAGAGAAAAACAGAAGAAACCTGAGATCCAGGGAAGGGAGATGGGGGTGAGCCAATGCAGGCGAAAGGCAACAAGATTATTCAACCACTGACTCCAAGAAAAACAACAACAAAATTGCACGAACAAAAATAGCATGCTGGGTAGCCTGGATATAAACATTTATGTAGCTATAACAGAGTAGACACTATTTAACCAAAAACAAGGATACAACCATATAGAGAGGATGAGGAAAGAAGATGCGGAGGCGTAGGGGAAAGAGTTGGAGGGGGACTGTATTCCCATCTTCCATAGCTGGAAGTTCGTATGCAATGTCTAAAACAGAAAAATCAAGAAAAATAGCAGGACCATATTACCGGTACTTAGAAACATAGAAAGATCTGGAAAAAAAAAAAAACAACCAAAAGTCCATGCATCTGTAGTGCTGGAATCAGGACTAGGGTAGGATGAGGTAGGAGTGCTGGGTTTTATCCATTTGTGATTTTATTTGATTTTTGAGGCCATTCCCAGATATTTTTGTAGTTCTTGGTCTCAGAGTTAAGAACTCTGGCTATTAAAGCCATTGTGTTTGAAATCTTAGTTAAAATCTATTATAATTTGATTTCTGATATTCTACTCATATCACCTTCGTTCTATAAATCTCAGCTTTTTCCTCTGTGTGTAACTGTTACTATGGAAACAGTTAAAAGTAAAGTTTATGTCACACAACGCCCAACTACTAGGCTCTTGATCAAGAGAAACTTACAGGGTGTCAATAAATCTTGGCAAACTCCTTTCTGATTGGAAAAAGACCATTGCAGCATTTCACACTAGGATATACACAATGTAATCAGCTCGCTTCTTTAGCGCACTACAGGAAGGAAAACGGAAAAGGAAAGCAGCATTGGGGGAGGGGGACAGATGGCATCAGGCTGTATGGAAAATGAACATCACCAAAATCACTCCCTAAACTGAGCTCGTTAACCAAAGCTGCAAACATAAGAAACTGTAAGAACTTAGATACTAAACCACCCTGAGGCTTCAGGTTTTTTATTACAAAGTCAGTTATGAAGAAGTGTTATCTTAAAACTTGGGGAATGGGGGCAATACCAGTCAGCAATAAAAGGGAAGAAACATGAAGAATCTCAAAAAATTCATGCCAAGCAAAGGAAGCTAGGTGCAAACGGATACATACTCTATGGACTTCTAGAAAGGCAGAAATAATTTACAGCGATCTTTTCAAATCAGCAGGTGCTTCAACAGCATGGGGGTGTACTGGTGGTACTGACTGCAAAGAGGCACGAGGGGACCAGAGTCACGGTAACACACTCACAGGTGTATAAGCTTGCCAAAATGCACTGAACTGTCCTCTAAAAATATTGCTTTTCGGCTCTGACCAGCGTGGCTCAGTTGGTTGGGAGACGTCCCGCAAAGCAAAAGGCCGCCGGCTGGATTCCTGGTAGGGCACATGCCCAGGCTGCAGGCCGGGGCACAGGCGAGAGGCAGCCCATCATCAATGTTTCTCGCTCCCATATTGATGTTTCTCTCCCTTTCTTTCTCCCTCCCTCCCTCTCTCTGCAAGAATAAGTAAAATCTTTAATATATATATATATATATAGAATATGAATTATAGCTCAATAAATATGACTTTTGTAAACAGCGAGGGGAGGAACAGGGCTATGTCCGTCAATGAATAACAACAGCTAAATGCGAGAAAGGTAACAAATGATACATTTATCTCAAATGCGTGTTTCACGTTTATGAATGTGGTGTCAGCATTTTAATTTCAATCTACTTATCAGGACAATTAAAATTTAAAAATTATGCTATTTTGCTTCCTCCTTAAGTAAATCCATGAAGAGCCACACTGTTTGAATCATGACATCAAAACCCAAGTACAGAAACCCCTCTGCAAACACAAGTTCCTCTGCTTCCTAAGAATTCAAGTAACTTCACAATTGCTCCTGATCACCTTCCTGTTCAGCAAGAGCAAGAATTTCAGTTCTCATAGGCAAGAACCACAAGTCATTGTAACTAGAGACTATGAGAGAAACAGAAAAGGAGGAAACCAGGGCGCAGGAGGCAACTGTGAGTGGGTACGGGAGATGACACAGACGGCAGAGCAACTGAGGCTCTGGCAGCAAGGAGGGGAGTGCACCGGGCCTCGGGGTAACACGGGTGGCAACTGTGAGGGGAGCAACAGAGACATCTGTGAGAGGCACTGATGGGTGCAGGCACCGGGGAGGTGGTGAAAAGCCATAACTTTTAAGACCTAAAGTCAGAAAAGCAGTGAATATGGACCAGGAATAATGGGGGAGACGCCTTTGCTTGTGCATATTATCTACAGTCAGTACAACAGACGTGCAAGCACCTCCCTGAAAATGGAAACTGGGAACCCCTGCAAGCTCCCCATGTATCTGGGATGGTGAATGAAAATTAAAATAACAAACTATTCTAAAAGCACAAAATACGATATTTTCTTTTTTTATAGTAAAAAAAAATTTGTATTTTCATGGGTATTTCCCTGATGTGTCAACCCATTTTTTTTTCCAGAATCTTACAGAAAGTACACAGAAAGAATGAACTTCAGAAACACTATTCACTGTTTTCTTTAAAAACCCTTTATAACTATGGACAATTTTTAAATTACTCCCAAACTTATTCCAATGCTTTCGCTCCCTTAGATTTTTTTAGCTCCCACTCTAGGTCTTCAGCTCTCTGAGAGGCTGCACTCCACCCTTTCCAAGGGCAATACCCAGCTTCTGAGTGGCAGAGCCTCTCAGACACGACACACGGACACTGCTCAGCTTAGCGGAAATGCTATGTCCCAGGGCTTTGACGGCACTGACGCACTGCAGGCTGCTGCCTCGATCTTAAACTGCGAGGTCGCGTTACTGCCCGCTTGTCCATTTCTAGACTTTTTTCCCTTTCTCATACAAGCAGCTAGGACTTTCCACCTTATATTTAGGGTGGTAAATAACTTTTCACCATGTTGTTCTACTGTGACTTTTTAAGCATTAATTGAAGTTATTCCTCAGGCTAATTCTACCTTTCAAGGTATACTTTCATATAAAAGTCACAAAATTATTTCAGTTAAATGTCAGTGAACAACCGTTGCATTACTCGATGATTAAGTCCTAACGACTCACTTGAATAACCTTGTATACTTATTTCCAATTACAGGCCAGAAAAATGAGTTAAGAGCTTGATCTAGCACCAACGAGGCATCCAAACTTGGGGTGAAACGTGAAGCACCCGTGCACACGTCACTGTGTTCCCATCAGCCGACCCACCCCTACGAAAGGCGTCAGATGCCCCGCTGAGTATCTTTAAAGGAATCTGACATCATCTCATCTGCCTGTACAACTCGGAGGAAACACCCAAATACCAACAAACATCGCCCACAGTCTGAGTCCTCAGTCTGAATCTACCATATCCATCCATGTTGCTGGGGCTGCTACAATGGTCACCGAAAGAGAAACTGGCAGAACCTATGGACGCTGAAGTTTTCTAATATAATAACATTGCATTTGAGCACTTTTACGATATATTCCACGGTAATAGGAGTGCCAAGTATTTTGCTTAGTATCTACCTTACTTGACCTGATCAGTTATACATGGGATTTTATTTGCAATTTTTTTTAATCTAGAAAAAAATCTAAAAGGACCTGACGTAAAAATAAACTGGACCATCCAGGAAGATGATCAACTCTGTTACCTCAAGTTATCCTCCTGGATGTAGATTCCACCAACGTAACATAAACCCGTACATGAAACTACTGTCAAAATGGGAAACATGGACAGTTCCGTGTCCTCCAGCTTTTAACGGTAACAAGGCACGAATACGAACACCTTCACCTGCCTGGGTTCCCACTAACGTTCAGTCTCAGCATAAGAGCTGCAGTGGCCTTTTTAAAATACTTGTCACATCATGTCATCTCTACACTGAACAACATACTCGGAGTTAAAACCAACGTCCTCGTGGTGATCAAGACCCCGCACGACCTGGCCCACCCCACCACAACTCCCACCAGCTGTCCTCTCTCTGCAGCCCCGCTGGCCTCCTTGCTGCTTCCCCAAAATTCCAGTCATGTTCCTGCTTTGGGGAACTTTTGCATCTGCTCTTCCCTCCTGCTGAGATGCCTTCCTGACTCTCCTGCGTCCTCCATGTGCTGGCTCACATGCAACCCCAGGGAAGCCTTCTCCCACCAACCTGTTTAAAACAGCAATTCCCTCTACTCCCTTTCTTGCCTTTTTTTTTCTTTTTTTTTTTTTTTGGCACATCGCTTCTTAACATCTGTAATAGCATACTTTACTTATTAATGTATGACTTCCCCCCTGACTAGAATGCAAACACCAGGAGAGATGGGAACTTTTGTTTTATTCACTTCTATACCCCAGAGCCTAGAGTAATGCTTAGCACAAAACAGACACTTAATACAGAGACTAAATCAATGTTGTTAAATATCATGTCTGTTTCTTGGTCTGTCCCCTCCTGTTAGCACTGGGGAGCTCCATGAGGACAGAGCTGGTGCTTTCCACAGTGACAGCCCCCAGTCTGAAACAGAACCAGGCATGTAGCTGGCACTCTGCAGATATTTACTGAACCCTCATTACATTCTTTTGGCAGAAAACAGGAAAATAAATTTCTACCCATATGTACATATTCTCAACATCTTACTTGGTTCTGAAAAAATGCTACTCTAGTGATTACCGAATCATTTCCATTTCTACTTTGAAAATACACATACATATATGCTGTATATAACCCAAAGTGCAATTAAAAAACGAAAATGATGGGAAGATTGGCAAGGACACATCAGTGTTTTTGAGGTGATAAGAAATGGCCTTTCAAAGTACAAAACTGTCAAATTATACAATGAAAATAAATTCACTTTAATTTTTCTTCTCCCACATATTAATTATTAAAGGCTTTTTTGAAAAGGGTTTTGGCCATTTCTTTCTCTTCCCAGCATTAAAGCTAATTCATAACACAGAATTATGTAACTTTTTTCTTGAAAACTGATATACATAAACACAAAGTTCTCTGCTTTGGTTTCCTTTTGCTCAAAACTCCACCACACTTAAAAATGAGGATGCCAAAAAACTGTGGCCACTAAAACAAATGTGAAATAACCGAGGTAAGACTCTCCTTTTCAATACCAGCAAACAGTCTTTGGGCAAAGATGCTCTCAACTCAGAGCAGTAAGGAGTCAGGCAGAAACCTCCCTCTGAGGTTAGGACGAAGTCCCTTCGGTCAGGGAAGCTAATCTGAAAACACAAATACCAAAAGGTCCTCCGCGCTCACTGCGATCACCCAAGGCGAAGCCAGAAGGTCAGCAGCTCTATACACTCATTTTCTGACCCCTCTGGGCTTAGTCCATTGGGTCAAAATGGACTACAGTTTACTTTAAATTTAGAGCAAATGATCTATAATTTTACCCAGTTTCACAGATAAATCCATAGGATGAGCTCACCACTTGTAAAGGTCAAGAATCAGAGCATTCCTGTCGAAAATGCCCAGTTAATTTTAAAATATAAAGGGGTCAGCACACTGTTTCGGAAAAGGTCCAGAGCTTACTGATGCAGCGACTGTAATTTTGGAGGCTGAAGCGATCAGCAGCTGTCTTAGAAGAGTAACTTGCGTAGCTGCTTACAAAACCATGATGCTACAAGGTCTAGAAGATAGGAAAGAAAACAAGTGAGACTGCCGCGGGCAGGTGTTACTGAGCAGGCAGAGTCCAGGGGCCCCCCCACCAACCAGATGGCACGGGACAGTGCATTTCAAGTGGTACCCGCCGCCCTCCGCCCACGGAGACGCTTCACAGGCAGCCGCCGACTGCCACGGACGGGACCGGGCTTGAGCCCCAGACCACTCAACACTCACGGAAAGCACTGCCTCCCTTCCTCTTCGGTATGTTGGGGTTCTGCCAAATACCTGATTTTAATAGAAGGGGGATGGGGAAGGTTATTGCTTTAAAAATGTCTGAAAACCAGCAGCAAGGACTTTAGAGTCAGGGAGGCCAGAGTTAAAATTCTAGATTTGTTGAATTAGGAATAGACATAACCACGCCTGGCAAGGAATTGTGCTCATAAGTGGAAGGAATTATCATCCATCAATGAGTAGCACTAAGAGGTATGAAAAGAGTGACCCTCGAAATCCATACCCAAGAACCACATAACTACAATGTGACAGTACGCAGCGTTTATTTCTCAGTGTATCCCTCGTCCTTCAGACACTCAACACATGGTTCCCCCGGAACCCCCACGAGCTTCTCATGCAGCCACCACCAAAGGAAGGAGGTGAGAAGGAGAGGTGGAGGAAGGAAGAAAGAGGGCAGAAGAGGGGAGAGAAAACAAGGGGAGGAAACAGAAGGGAGAAAAAAAATGAAAGAAACAGAAAAGAAACAACTCCAAAACATGAAAAGATAATCATAAAATGAAAATTAATACATGCTTATCACTCTTAAGAATTATATTCAAGAATTCTGGTATCTATAAATATTTCATTTTATGGATAAATAACTGATCAGATAGATTTTCTTCACAAAAATTACAAAAAATGTGCAATGCCTGCAGTGAAATCACAACCAACTTCAAATGAGGCGGCATACTCAAAGGTCAAATTTCAGAAAACAAAAATATTTTTCAACTGCTACAGCAACACACACACACACACATACATGCAGAGATAAAGCACGATATGAGCACGTTAAATACATCTGACACAGCATGGCGGGGGCCTCACATAGCACGAGGACCTGCACTCTTAGAACGGCTCTCCCCTTTGGGTAGGAGTCCCTTCCATCTTCCCCAAGTTGTGGCCATCACCTGTGTCATGTCACAGTGGGAGGTGATGGCAGGAGCCAAGGATAAGACATGCAAGGAAGCAGCAGCAAACCCCGGATGCCCTCTGTGATGCTCAGGCTTTCCAGCGAGCGTCCCCATCTCCTGACTCCTGAAAGCACCCTCAGGCATCGCTCAGTAGGGTCCTGGGCCGCTGCACAGCGCCTGTCCCCCAGCGGTACCACCCAGGCGAACAGGAGGGTGTGCGAGCAACTGAAGAAAGGAGGCTTTACCTGCTTTATTTTATTTCGGGAGTTGGTGATGCGCTCCGTGATGCTCTGGTACGTGCGAATAGCTGTCGTCAATTCTGTGTAGTGCTGCACAATCAGTTCATCTAGGTCACGGTCGCACTTCTCATAGGCCTCTTCCAGGCGTCCCTTCTCATTTTCTCTGTCTTCGACATCATCACTGGTAGACAGAGTCCTACCAGATAAAGACAGAGAATATCTCAAACTGAGTCAAACTTAAAGCAAAAGAGAAAAAAGTACGGCACAGGGAATACAGTGAGTAATGTTGTAATGACTACGTATGGTGCCAGTGGGTACCAAAAACATCAGGGGGAACACTTCGTAAAGTATATGGTTGTCTAACCACTGTGATGTACACCCGAATCCAATACAAAGTAATGCTGAATGTAAACTGTCACTGAAAAAAATAGAAAGGGACAAGGCCAGGTATAGTATGCTGGCCCCTTCATCCCACTAACTAGGAACACAATGTACTAACAGAAAATAATAAAAGCACCTTCCCAGGAAACCCCAATGCCCCATCTAAATGCATTTCTTGGGTGCCTACGCAAGGAGCCTCCCTTCACTTTTTCCTTGGTACGCCCGTTTCAATCGGACAACAGGCAGCATGCACGCTGCTAGAGTCTGGGCAGGTCTTGATCTGTTTGAATGAATCCTGGAAATTCCATTCCCCTTACCAGCCTGGCCAACAAGACTAAGGACTTCCAGGCGCAGTTTCCTTATAGGCAAGAGTAACAGGGAGCAGGCCCCTTTTCCCAACACTGACTACTGCTACACAAAGTGGAGACACTCAACAGCTCAGCCATCTCACAACCATGGGAGCGGAAGCTAAGAGAAATGCCAAGCGACTGCTGTGATGGCATTTGGCCACCGAAGCAGCCGACCCTGCGGCTGCCTTACCTCAGGACTTCTCATCAGGGGGAGATGGTCAATATCCATTGTTTAGGTCACTTGCAGTTGGTTGTCTTTTACGTACAGCTGAAAGTGTGCTAACTGATGAAAGTCACTCACACACTGAGGGGCCCCCTTCCAAACAGCTACTGAAATGACCTTGATTTGGTACAGAGCCCCTGGTGGCCTGGCAACAAGGCCATGTGGATTCTAAAACCTGTTACAACAGCCATAATGCCAATAATATGGGCTATACTACAAGGCATTCCCTGCATTTACTATTCTTCCAACGGCACTAACAAGATTGATATGAATCAACAATAACCAGGGACTGAGATAGATACACTTATTAAAAATCTTTCAATAACTTAGTTTGATACATTGGCCACAGATCTGTTTCCTACATTATTTTTCTTGGATAATTTTTTTTAATTTAGTGTTATAATCAGGAACAAAGAAACCTTTTTCTCTTATCTGTTGGCTGTGGTAATTTAGAGTTTCATTAAATTCCCTCAGATTTGTCAGTTTATACATTCAGCATAATTTATTTCATTTATCTTTTTTCATTTAGGGAGGGAGTATTTTAGGCTCTCAATGATGGATGCAATCAATTATAAGTCCATCATTAGAACCGCTTTCAGAGATGGTCTGTCAGCGAATCAATCACCTGTCCACTCCTAGATATTTGCAAGCAAAATCCTGTACAACAGGCTTCTCAAAACTGTCATTTAGACCAACGATCTTAATTCATGAGCCACATAATGTATAAAACTTCTTTTGCAATTTAGAGGGAGATTCGGTAGGCCAGTCTTCGACGTCAATCTAACCTCCTAAAAGAATGTTGCAAATGTGTTACGGATGCCAAGAGAGCTGATCCAGCATGACACTGGGAAGGGGGTGGGGGGCGGGGAGAGAATGTCAGGAAGGAAGAAGGCAATGCCTCTAAGGAACATGGGGCACACCCAGGAAATCAACACATGGAGAACCCTGACATCTGAAGGCAGGCCTTCCCCGTGTCAGACACCGCGTCCTCCCCTGCCAACTGGCTAAGTGCTACTCTAGACCTCCTCCAAGGTACTTTCAGGTAGAGAACACCACGCACGTGTTTGACTAATCAAGTAAATCAGAGTGGAGAATTTAGGGAGAATTTGGTTTCAAAGATAGACCTACCAATATTATTTGCAACATTTGGGTACAGAGTAGCTAAGTATATCTTCCTGTTGTTTCTATGATATACAACTTTGCTCTTTAAATCTGAAACCTTCCAAGCTGTTAATCCAAAGTAAAGCACAATCAGAAAATGCCTCCAATTTATCAGCCGCCTCAAAGGGAAGAGTTCCTAGATAATTAACTCTATTATTTCCCTTTGTAACAGCAGACAGCCGCAGAACATTCCGAGCTGCACTGGACCAGTCTGCCATCTTTATAATGCGTCCCATGATCTCCTCCCACCGTTTGTGGATGGGAGGAAGCACAGCAGACTGATCCAGTGTAGCTCTTTCCATTTCCCGTCATTGACACTTCACATTGTTTACAGTAAGGAGCAGCGTCACCACCAAGGAAAATGTCAGGCCCTGAGAGGACATCTTCCTGGGCATCGGCTGTCACAGTAACACATCACTACAGCGTTAGGAGTTATTTAGGCAAGAGAAAAGGTTAGTAAAATGAAGACTGAAAATTGAGCCTATGGGGGGTTTATCTATTTTCATTTTTAGAGAAAATATTTATATAAGGAAAACAGCCTGCGCCAGTGTTGCCCCACATTTGAAGGTCATCCTCTTGATGTAAACTAGGCTGAATTACAATTTTCCTTTAGTAAAAAACACTTAGATTAGAGAACTCTGAGAGTACAGCCATTAAAGTTTTGTTCTCTCTTTTTAATTAAAGGAAAGGAAGGCAGCAAGGATAGACGGTAGTAATGGCTGCTGACGCTCAGAGAGGCTCACCAGCTGCCAGGGACCAGCTGCGCTGCAGGCGTGACGTGACGGAGTGCAGGTGTGTTAAATTCCCGCAACACCCCTGTGGGGTGGGGCCCACTTCCACACCCCTCCTCTTTTTACAGATGCAGGGGTCTGAAGAGGTTACTTTGCCCCACCTCACACAGGAGGGGAAGGGACAGTACTGGGATTCAAAGCCCAGGCAGGTCTGTTTTCAGATCATCCTCCTAAATGCTCCAGAGTCACGGGCTCTGGAGTGGAGCTGCCTGCGATAGAGCCACGGTTTCCTGCCCCTAAGGCCTCAGTCATGGCATCTCATTTTGCTCGTCTCTACAATGGGGATAGTAAGTACACCTTCCTTACAGGGTTGCTGGTTAGACTTAAACAAGATCAAATGAGGCCTGGCACATCATTAACACCCAACAACTGCCGGCAGTTGCTGCTAGCGGCCACAGCCGGAGTAGCAGTAGCACTGGGAGTGGCAGGAGAAGCAGTAAAGGCAGTAGCATTTTTCCAGGATGCATCGAAAAGGACATCCTCTGGAGGCAGGGGGTCGAATTTCACGATCCCCAACCACTAGATCATTTGGCACTGGGCTTGAGCTAGATCGCTCTCTCACTTTACTCCTCCTCAATGTCAAGAACTGTAATGAGTTTGGGGCTTGTATCCTATTTACAAGCTACCAAATTAGCCTGCCACAGCTTTATGGGTGCTGGTGGAGGACACAACTCCTGGGGCAGAGACTGAGGACTTTATTACCCACAGCACAGCAAGTGGCATGGGCACCAGCATGTCTGTTCTGTGTCCTTTCCCTGGGGTCCCTTGGAGATTCAGCACATGGGCCCAACTGGGTGCCTGCCCACACAGCGCATTACTGAAGAGAACCCTGAGCTTAGAAACCCGAATCTTTTATACTGGGCAGTAAACATGGCTGCCCTCTGCTCCAGAGGGAGAGATTCTATCTTTCAAAGATGCTTGCTAGCAAACATCCCGACGAGAGAGTCTAAAACAAAAGGCACTCTGTGCTCTTGCTCAAAAGCACTCCAAAAACGCAACTCTCCCACGGAGAACTGTCTCCCGAAATGAAACCAAATCCGTTGGGCTTCCCCAAGGAAAGCACGGTGTCAAGTAAACACAAATTCATTCCCAACCAGTTTTCATTTAGGCAAAGTAAGGCCAGAAATTGAATGTCTCACACAAGGACTACCTGCAGCATGAATGAGTGATAGACCGAAAAAACAGACTGATTCCAGGGAGAAAGTTCCCAAGCATTCTACCAACACCCAGCAAACTTCAGTGGGAAATCATCTTACTCTGAGCCAGTCACTTGGTCTGAACTGGCAGCAGGGTAGAAGAGAATACCTGTCCCGTAGGTCACCCCGCCGGCCAGGTCAGGACCCTCTCCGCAGCCTGCTACGCCTCCATGCAATGGAGAACTCACTAGCTCGTAAAGTGATTCACTGCAATTTTGAACAGCTCCCCTTATTACAAAGCCATTCATTACAATAAAATAATAAAATAAAATAAAATAAGCCTCTTTATGTCTACCCATTGATCCCAGTCCACCTTTCCCAGGCACACAAAATAACTGTTCCCTCTTCCCTAAAGTTTCTCTTTAAATGGTAAAGGACTCCCCACACTTCTTTCTTCCTCAGGTTAAATGCCTCCAACTTCCTCAACTGTTTCTCCCACAACATGGAAGCCCAGACTCCTGCTTGCTTTCCTCCGGGGTCCCCTCAAAAGCAGCTAACATTCACTTAGAATTTGCTCTGTGCCCAGCATTAATCTAAGTGGTTGGCACAAAATAATCCATTTATTCCTAACAACAATTATGAGGTAGGTGCCATTACTGCTGCTCTGTTAGCCATGAAGAGGCCGACCTGGGTTCTCCAAGCACAGACCTTCTAAGTGGCAGTGGGGCCTCAAACCTGGGCAGCCTGGTTCATAAAGCCTCGCTGCCCTGCCTCTCAGGAAGAGGTACTCAGGGCTGAACACGCCATACTCTTAATATGCTATGACCAGTCCAAACAGGAAGAGATTTCACAGCCCATAAAATGGGCACTAGCCCAAAGCAACATTGTACTTTTTTTTAGTCCAAAAATTAACCAAGATCCCTTTGATGTTAAGTCCTAACAAGCAGCAGCTCTCACTGATCCTCTACTTGGAAAATTTTAAAACTAAGTGCAGAAATTTACTTGCGTTCCTGTATCCTACATGCAGGGAAGGGAAGGTGAAAGTGAGGCAAGGAGTATAAATCGAATGTCTATTACACACCAGGCAACTCGGTGGTTATTTTGCACACCTAATCCAAGGCAATTCTCAAAACAGGCTGGTGAGATAGTATCAC